GTTTAGCTGGCCCAGGCTGGGTTTCAACCCACCAGCCTGGGTGTATGTGGCTGGCAGCCTAACCACTGAGCACCAGGTGCTGAGCCCAGACCCAAGATCTTCTTTCCCATTCCCTTTCCTATCTATTTCTTTCCTTTTCTACTTCTTCCTGTGTAGATAAAATTCTTATGATTTTATCCTAATGATACTCGATCTTCCTTCCTTTTTTAGGATGGAGTACCATGGCAGGAGCATAGCTCAGTATAACCCTGAATTCCTGGGCTCAGGAGCACCTCCCCTTTCATCTTCCTAAGTCACTGGGACTACAGGCATGCACCACCACACCAAACTAATTTTTCTTTTTACATTTTTTTTGTAGCGATGGGGTCTTGCTATGTTGCTATATTGGTCTCCAGCTTCTGGGCTTAAGTGATCCTCTTGCTTTGTCCTCCCAAAGTGCTGGGATTATAGGTGTGAGTCACTGTGCCAGGTGAGTTTTTGAGTATTACTGGGAGGCTTTGTCTTTGGTCCTGGAATCCCAAAGACCACAATGCCCTGCTGTTGTTCCTAGGATAGGAACGGTGTGCCGAGGAGACACATCACGGACAGGGTAGCCTGAAAATGCTTCATAGAGGAGCATAGCATTGAGCCTGGCCTTGAGTCGGTGTTTATCAGGTCAAGGACACAGAGAAGCTGTTGCTGGCATCTGCATCTTCAGCTAGTTTCTTTCTATCTTCTTAATTGTCTCCTGCCCTCAAAACCTTTTGTATGCATTTATGTTCTCCACCCTCAGAGCCAATCTCTGTTTCCAACTTTGTCACCTACAACTTTTTTTTCCTATGAGTGTTTAGCTCTGGGAATCCTTCACATTTCTACTGCTAATCTTTAAGGATTTAAGCCTATCACCTATCTGCACCGTGTTATTATACTACCTGCTGCAGTTTTCTCAAGGACTCTCCTCTGAAATACACATGCTTTTTCCAGTCGTTTGTGCTTCTCTCTTTTCCTTCAAGTACAAATTCCGTTGGTGTAAGCCAAACTCCCTCCTCATTCTGAATGAATTTCCCTGAGGTTCCTGTAAGAAAAAGATAGCCCCTTGGGAATCCCTCTCAATCCTCTCTGAATTCACCTAAAGGGCCTGCACTCCTAACCATGACCTTCCACCTTTCTGGGTTGAGGGCGGCTGTCTCTGGGAGGTGGGAGCAGTAGCAGGAGACTGGATTCCTCTTCTCTTAGATCAGCGGTTCTCAACCTGTGGGTCATGACTCCTTTGTAATAATGAAAATATAATGCAGCATTAGGAAGTTTGAGAACCACTGTCTTAGAAGGAAAGAAGCCCAAAGTCTACCTGAGTGGTCAGGGAGTGGGACAGTATTTGCACATCATGTGACATCTACATGCAGCAAAGACACTATATGATCAATACTGCAGGATCCAGGGATGACTTCCTTATCAGGTGGAGGGTCTGGTTGTCAGAAATACCGGGATGTGGGAAAGTTCTTAAAAAAGCATTTCTTTTTCTGCAGCCTCACTAGGAGGGTCCATTTCCTGAACAATTACATACTTGGGTATTTCCCTCCCTTCTAGGGATTCCAGAGAGCAGAAGGTCAAGGATCTCACCGAGTTTAATTTTCTCTAAATATAAAATCCCTTTCGCTTTGCCACAGGTCACAGGTATAGGATGCGGAAAGTCCATAGTGTCATCTTGGGGTTTTTCTGAAAATAGACGAAGACAGTTAAGTGTTACTCAGTCTTCATTTGACTTTCGTCTTCAGTTCTCCTCTCCATGAATTCCAGTGATTGTAGATAAGAATAATGATATCGTAAATGGCAGTGGGGAAACTTTTCTGGTGAATTTGTGGGAAGTCTTCCATTTCGAGTGGTGATCAGCTATGTGTACAGAGTGGGCTGCATTAAACTAAACACTGTGCCCACCAACACTACTCCAGACAGAACGTTTCAATAGAACAGACAGGCCTTCTTTGGGGAACGTGTTTTAATCTGCAAGCTAATTGGCCATGACCTAATGTTCTTTTATCCCATAAACATCCTACTTATCTCTCTATGATAATGGGAGTTGCCTGCCTAAAATATTTCTTAGTATTCATGTAGCTGGAGAAACAGTCTTCGCTTAGAATCTTATTTCCTAATTCAGATGAAGACTTGGTGAGATGGTTGGCTCTGAGGGAAGGGTGCTAGCTTGTCATCATTTGCTGTCTGTTTTCATTTTATTGCTTCTCTGTTTCTTCCTCTATGAAAACCCTGGAGAGTTCTAGACTAATCTGCAAAGTGCACATGGAGAAATTCGGCAACTCAGAACCTCTGAGTATAAACCTGAGGTTCTGGTGTAGGAGAAGCCAAGTCCTTTAGGCTTGAGGACTTCCAAACCCACCCACCTTCTGGCAAAGGGCAGCTCTCTGTCATGTTCCCAATAGTCCTGAGTTTGACTCACCCTCACCTGCCATCCCAGAAAAGTGGGCCTTAAGGATGGAACCCTGTGACGATGTGTCTGGGGCACTCCAGCAACTCATCTTCTAAGGCAGTGGTTCTCAACCTGTGGGGCATGACCCCCTTTGTCACAATGAAAATACATCGTGGCATTAGGAAGGTTGAGAACCACTGTTCTAAGGGGAGCAACAAGAGTGATCTGCTTAGGGCTCCATTAGTAAGTGGCAGCGAACAGGAGAGCTTGTGGAAAGGAAAAGGATGGTGGAGAAAATGCAAAAGAAAAGCCTAACAGAGACAGACAAGAAATGGTAGAATGGATCACTGATTAGTGATCCAGAAGACTAACTCCAGGAATTCTTACAGAACATAAGGAAGAAGCACAGGGTGGAAATTATGTGTGGAAAGATGAGAGGCCTTGGGAAAGACCTAGGAGCTCTATGATGTATATGTGAGGGATCTGGAGAGGGTGGTAGGAGTAGAGATGGGTGGAAGAGGAATAGTAATAGTTAAGAAAATAGTAGGAGTAGCAGACATGCTGTCATCTATCCTCACATCAGTGTGTAAGAAAGAAGAGGGAAGGTTAGTATTATTTTATAGGGACCAGGGCTCAGACTTGGGGAGAGCGTTATTGGTGGTTACTACACTTTAAGGAGGAGGTGGCGTTGAATCTAAGCATACCATATTCCTAGTCTAGTGCTCTTTCCACATCATCAGAAACACTGCAACAGGGTTGCACATCATGTGATTGGTAAGAGTACAGACACCTTGTATGTAATCAGAAATGACAGATAAGGGGGAAGTGTGAGCAGGCAGGAGAGGTTGAGCTGACTACCAGTGTCTGCCTGGGCTCCTGCCACTGCCAGTATTTCATAAAAAGACTAGGAAGTATGTGGGTTTATTTATTTACCTTATTATTGTAAAGAAAAAAGGACTTGGAATTAGAATACCTAGATTTGTTTTAGCTCATGTGTCTTTTACCTCTAACTGAATCTGTAAAATGGGCTGGTAACACTCACTTATTATAAGTGTTCAATGATAAGAAGCAGAATAAAGTTCTCTGCCTATTGTAAAGTGATATAGACACTTTTATTGTTATTAGGGCCTCTGTGTAAGGTTGTGTAGGCTGTGCACTGAGCAACAATTCCACCTTTAAGGAGGCGCTCTGATTCACATCAGAATCCCCAAACAACAGATGCTGGTATTGATAGAGAGAAAAGAACTCTTAGACACTGTTGGTGGGACTGCAAACTAATATGACCTCTACGGAAAGTAATATGGAGACACCTCAAAGAACTAATAGACCTACCATTTGATCCAGCAATCTCACTACTAATGTTTATCCAAAGGGAAAAATGACACTCTATAAAAAAGACACTCAGACTGTAATGTTTATAGCAGCACAGTTCACAATCGGAGACATGTGGAAACAGCCCAATTGTCCACTAATATATGAGTAGATTAATAAAATGTGGTATATGCATACCATGGAGTTCTACTCAGCCATAAAAAAGTGGTGTAACAATTTGGATGGAACTGGAGACCATTATTCTAAGTGCATTATCACAAGGATGGAAAAGTAAACACCACATGTAGTCAGTGCTAAATTGAAAGGATTTGAGCAACATTTATGTGCACATAGGGAAATAAAACTCAATGGAAATCAGTGGAGGGGAGGGTAAATTCATACCTCATAGGTACATTATACAGGTGAAGGGAACAGTAATAACTTTAACTCAAATGGCACAAAAGGATTATATGTAACCAAAACATTTGCACCCCTGTAATATTCTGGGAAAAAACAAAAGAAAAAAAACAGCATGTACGCTTAGTACAACAGACTTCCAGCAGAGGGCAGAAAAGGGCTTGGTTTCAAGAAGCAGCTCTGGCAGTGTACTGAGGAAGGGATACCTTTTCTAATTCACACTAATGCGTTATATGGGCCCATAGGTTGGTATTTGTAACTGAGGAAGAAGAATGAATAAAGTTTTGATTCATCAGTTATTTCAGTACCGACTATGTGAGGCACAGGGAGCTGAACATAGGGCCATGAGCAAGACTAATCCACTTACTGACCTCGAGCAACTTTCCTGCGGTGGCCAGGCTGTGGGCAGATCACCAATTACAGTTGAGATAAGCACCATGAAGGAAAATGCAGGCATGTGCCTGTCGGGAGTCCCAGCCCTGTCTGCTGGGAAGAAAATGCTTTCCTACGGAAGTGATGTTGGAGGTGAAGTCTGAGGGTAAGTAGCAGAAGAGAAGGGAGAAGAGGGGCTTGGCTTTGCAGGTGAAGCATTCAGTGTCTCACTGACTTCTGTGGTGGGAAAACAGGCTAGCATGAGCCTCAGCATGAGGGCACAGGTCAGATTATGGATGCTGATTATGTTCTGTTTCTCGACCTGGCTACTAAGTATGTGGCTGCTGTGTGTGTGTGTGTGTGTGTGTGTGTGTCAATCCAGCTGTACACTTCTGATACACACATTTTGCTGTAACTACACCAGTGATGCTCATTGTTCTGATATGTGACAAAATAGGAGCTTGACTAGAGTCAATGCGCTGCCGTCTCCCCGGAGGACCTTGCTGTGAAAACAGTGCTCAGTGTCCCAGTTGGTTTACGAGCTTCTTATTCTTGCAGACCTGAGACAAACAGGCTTGGAGATGGCACCCATCTGGGGACCCTACCCCTTAGAACTTAATTTCTAAGTCCCCCAAATGACCTCTCCATACCTGATTTGTGTTTGGAAGTTGTACCTGTTATACTTCACTAATGAAAAGAGCAAAGGTCAATGTGGCTGAAGGCTAAAGAGGGAAGAAAGAAAAATGAATGCTAAACGGGCACAGGAGGGAGTGGATAGCGATGAGAGGCCCCAGAGTGCAGAAGGACAGCGCAGGAGGAAGCCTCGACTGGACTGCAGAGCCTGGAAGAATGGCAGATTCCATCACCGGCCTTACCCTTTGATCTGGACTTTGGGGCGCATTCAGCTCTGGCCTTTTGGGCCCTTGTCATGATCTTTGAGTTGCAGGCTGAGTCATCTTTCCTTTGAGTCTCCTCATCCACCACTTGGAGCTTTTCTTTGATGCCATGTCCAGGTGAAGTCTTCCCTAGAAAAAGTAGTGATTTGTGAACAGTTTAAATTGGACCCCCCTAATTAGTGATCCCCGTTTTCATTACCTTCTACCCTTTCAGGAGATCTCTATAGCTCACATTTCTTTGGCCATTTCTCAATAATTACTTTTCTCTTTTCTTGTGTATATCTTTCTTTCTCCCCCAGACTCAACATTACACACCATATTTCTTTCTGTTTTTCATTTTCCTTTCAACTCTTCTTTTTGTTTATTAATTATAGGCATATCAATTAGAGCACAAGCTCCACAGAGGTAGGGATTTGTGTCTGTTTTGCTCACTGCTGAGTCTCCAGGACTTAGGATAGGTACTTGGCACATACCTTCCATTCGATCTATCTTTGTTGAATGAACATAGAACAGGCACTAAATGTGTAGGAATGTGAGAAGTACGCATTTTTCGTCCTTACAAATTGTAAAGATTTCCCTGACTATCAAATCAATAGGTTTCTGGGACAGGGCAGATGTTGGCTAGAACTGAGACATCACTGCTTAGTCGAGGCCATTTTGGAGACCTCAGACAAAATCTTGAAACACAATTTGTTTCAAGAGAGCAAAAATTGGGATTTCTAAGTTCCCCAAATTACGTCTAAATACCAAAAGAAAAGGTTGGAGGTGTGAATGTCAGGTTTTCCTAGAAGTTATGGGTACTGAACACTCGGCAAATGACGGAAAGAAGAAAGTGAGTTCCTCTAGCCTAAGGAGGCAATGGGGTGGGGCAGGGGGAGGAGGAAGCCAGGGGAGGGGGAGAGCAGGCCAGCAGATCTGAATCCCTGCCCAGCTCAAACCCTAAGACAGGCATGTTGAAAACAAGCAGAAAAACTGGGGGAATTTCCATAGCAGTGAGGCACATGTCCTGATTTGTGTTTGGTAGCTGGGAGGAGGTTCCTTCCCAGGCTGGCCCATGCTCTCATAAGGGCACAGAATCCAAAGGAATCCCCACCACCTGGCACACTTTGTACCCTCAGTAAACAGTTTCGAATTAAAAAATAAAGAAAAAGGAAGGAGAAAGGAATGTGGAAAAGGAAGAGAACACAGAGCAGAAGAAGAAAGGGCTGATGAAGGCAAATTTTGGGTGATAGAAAGTATGATTTCTTTCATTAGTTTTTCATTTGGGAAATAATGCTTCAATTGTGCCTGGACACCACCATCTGGCCTAGAAGACACACATTATATACGTATTTACTATAAAGTATGTGGAATCTTCTGAAAGAGCCCATGTTGGGTACAGTGGGGCCAACTTGGCTAATCTAGGGGTCAGAGTATGCCTTCTTGAGGTAGATATTTATGCCAGCACCAGTTATTAAAGGAGATAGCTGGCCATTTGTTGGGTATAGGATACAGTAAGAATACGGCATTCTGAGAGAATAGGATAAGGCAAAGATCAAAGGGGAGAGACGTGAAATGGAAGAAATGAAAGTTCAGAGTGGTTGAAATGGAGAAAGCTTTAACAGTCACATTAAGAACTATGAACCAAGCTCATCAACCTAGCAAGAACTTCTCTCTGCAAAAATTAAAAAAAATTAGCCTGTAGTCTCAGCTACATGGAGGCTGAGGCAAGAGGATCACTTGAGCCCAGGAGTTTGAGGTTGCTGTGAGCTGTGACACCAGAGCACTCGACCCCAGGGTGAAAAAGTGACACCTCCTCCTCCTTCCCCTTTCCTTCCTCTCCCCCCCTTGCTGGACTATATTTGTGTTTTATCATTCATATGGGCATGTAGTTGTTTATATATTGGTTTCATATTATTATTGAGTACTCCAATTCATTCTCCACCTAGTAGCAAAATTTGTCTTCAAGGATTATGCCATTTCATTGATTCAATTTTCTCCGTGGCTTCCTACTGCATTTAGAATACAACTCAACCCCCTATACCTTGACCTGCAAGCCCTACACAAGCTGTCTCCAGCCTCCTTTATCCCTTCATCTTACCTCTTGAGGATCTTTTTTTAAGTCTCTTTCTTTGACTTGACTGGGTATTTCTTTTTCTTTTCTTTCCTAAAAAGAAGGGATAATTTTTTATAGTTACAAATGTAGATCTGCCAACCTTATATGTCAATGATATTTAGCTTTTACTTTTGGTTTTCAAACCACATTAGCTAGGAGGTCCTTGGTGACTTTAGGTGATGCTCCTTCATGGAGTAACAGGGGAAGGAGGAACTCTAAAGTGACAGAAGAGAGAAAGAAGTAAAGAAGTGGAGACTGCAAGTTTAGGTAACTCATTTCTAGAAGTGTGGTTATGAAATGAGGGAGAGAGCTGTGGAGGCAATGAAGTGAAATGAGGATCAAGAGGAAGTGTTTTGTGCGAGCTGCGATAGGCTTAGGTGTTGGCTGAGGGTCGATGGTTGTGTGGGAGAGATAGGGCTGTGCTGAACACAGGGAGGGAAGGGGACTGTACTGTGCTGGTACTGGAAGGCAAGCTGGAAGGAGGGCCTTAGCGTGAAGGAGGAAATTGGGGAGGAGGGGGCAGGTACAGTTTGCAGGGCTGGCAGTGGGAACCACCTGATGCCTCTCTAAGAAGCAGGGGGCAAAGATACCTGTTGGACAAGAAGGAGGAGGTAAGGGAGATCTGAGACTTGAGAAACAGAGCTCAAATTTGAAAGGATCATTATAGGATGTAGAATTGTCACCAGTGTGGAGATATTGCTTGCGTTGGAATCATGAAGACACAGAGAGTGTCCTCTGCCCTGCTCTGTGACTCTCCAGCAATGCCTGCTTTCAGATACTTAGTGCAGAAGCTAGGTAAGTAGGTTCCTCCCAGATCTGCCAGAGGGTTCTAAGAGACAGCAGAGAGGAAAGGGAGGCTAATACAATGGCAATAGATGACCGAAATGATGGCCGTGAGACCCTAAGCTGGAAAGGAGTGGCATGAAGAAAAGCAAATGATGGATGGGAAGGACGGATTGGTGATCTGAATGAGGCTGAAAGACAGCTGCAGGGGAACAAACACAGTAGAATCTCCAGAGTTGACCACCTTCCTACATGAACCACCTCCTCAAGCTGAGCTAATTTTCATAGACTGAATGTGTACCAAGTGTATATCATATAGGAGGCCTAGTTCCTTATGCTGACCACCTCCACATGTTGACCTGTTTGTTACAGTCCCTTGGGTGGTGAACTTACGGAAGTACTACTGTAATGAGAAAACAGATAGGGATTGTTTTGATTGTTTTTTTTTAAGGATTGTAATGAGAAGGCAAGATCAGAGGTTAAACAACAGCTGTGGAAGAAGCAAACTTGAAGGATAGGTGTCAAAAAAGGGAATTCTTAATGAACTCTTGGGAAACTGAGCCAGGTTTGAATGATGATAACGTCCGTGGATTGTCTTTAGGGAGGGAGGGATAAGAACTGGTGGAGAAAAAACTCACTGGAAATGAGAAGATGAAGGATTTGAGATGCCAGAGTGCTGGGTGGGTTGTCTGCTATCCATGTATACCTGGATGATGTCTAGGCTGAAGGAAGGTCTTGAGGGGACAGAAAAATAACCTTGAAGGTCCGCCAGGGAGTGATGTGGAAATCAATGGGTGACAGTGATGATGTGAAGGAATGTTTGAATTGAATGGCTAAGCCCTAAAGGAGAAGACCTGGAACAAGTGACTGGATGGGAAAAATGGGTGGTGACCTGTCTCCCACCATGAGGTGTGAGTGACTCAGGGTAAAGAATATCCAGTCATGTCTAAGGAGGATGCGGTGTGCTCTCTGGGAAGCCAACTGTCAGCTAAAGAGGTTGGTGCAACTAACACTCTTAAGTTGTGGATATAGGAGACTCATGATTTCAGAGCAGGCAAGTTCAACAAAAGCATATTTTAATGTTTCTGAATTTCATAAAAGCCTTCAAGGAAGGAAGGAAGATGCAGTGAATGGGAATTATAGACACAAACTATGGTGGGCATCAAGACCACAGTAACATAATGGGCACTCATGACAAGTTATGATCAGAAAAACAGAAAGCAACTCTGAATTCACCCTTCTGACATCTACAGGAGAGAGGCAGTCCTCACCTTTTTTGCTGGAAGGTGTGGTGGGTACCTTTTGGGTCTCTTCTAGGTCATTTGGTTCCAGAGATTCATCTCCTATCATTGACAAAAGAAATGTAATTCATTTTAGAGCTGAGGACAGGCTGAAGAGAAAGTGCCGAGAGAAAGCCACAGGGAACCAGAGAGGTAGGACGCAGCACTATGCTGGGCTGAGAATCTGCCAGCTCTTACGGTTTCCTGGCTCTGCCTTAATTTTACAACTTGTGGTTCATGTTACCTTGGTGACTGTGGCAGGGAACCAGGGACAACTGCCCCACAGCAGAGGCTCTGATTGATCCATCGGAGAGATTCTCTTACTGAGTGAGAGAGGTAGAAGGGCTCCTGGCAGCTCTTGCTCAGGGAATGAAGCCAAGACCAGGGAAAAGTGGTGACACTGAATGTTCATGTTCCCTTCATGATGAAGGGAATGTCTTTGCAATATGAAAAGTATGTTATTGCTTCTTAGATGTCTGTGGGTAGGTGTTTTTAACTGCTCTATCTATGATTATTTCACCTTGTGAAACAGTGAGCAAGGCTACGTGCCTTGTGTATTTCAGTACATAGGACTGGATGAAGAAAGCAGGAGCCAGTCTGTACTTGCTGGCTCCTGTTCACAGCAAATATAAACAAAGTGCTGCCAGGTTTTGCTGCACTAGGAGAGAAGGAAGGACTTGAAGCCAAATCAAGGTCAGTCTCACATAAGGACATCACCATCTTGTCTGCACAGTGCTATAAGGTTTGTCTCAGATTCTGGCCTGCTTAGGAACAGGTAACTGAGACACACAGCAAGCAGTCATTAGACCTTTGAAATGACTTATTACTTTTCAAATCAATTTATTAAAATCTACTCTTAAAATCTAAGTAATAGGGCGGTACCTGTGGCTCAAAGGAGTAGGGTGCTGGCCCCATATACCGGAGGTGGTGAGTTCAAACCCAGCCCCCCACCCCCCAAATAAAAGTAATATAGAAATGACTAGGTGAAAGTGAGAGTTCCACGCAGTCAGGGTGGGCTGAGGAAAGGGAGCCATCTGTGTCTGTTATACCTGTCCCCTGTTGTGGCCACACTGTGTTTTTGTTCATTTGCTTTGTATTTTGACAGGACAGTGTTGAGCTTCACCTTATTGAGGTGGCCTTAGGACAGTGGCTGTGTCTGACAGTCCAGCCCTGACTCAGTTCCCTGTGCTTTCCCTCTGGGGTTCCCTCCACAGCTCCTGTGGCAGATGGACCTTCCCCCTTTGCAGACACTTTATGGTGACTGGAATCCAACCCTAACAGGTACTGGTGGGGCTTCTGTCCCTCATCATCATGGCCCCCTCCCAGACTACTTTTTCCAGAATTGACTCCTTTGCCCTCCCCAGAGACTCTGGATCCATTCTGGTCTCTTCCTTGTCCAAGCTCTCAAGGGCTGAGTGGCCAGCTAGAAGCTGGGCCAAGTCAGCAGCTGAGAGCAAGGAGGAGAGCCCTATCCCCAGAAGGTCTGAATGGCTTGTCCTCTTGGTAGATGTGGAAACCAAGGCACGTATAAGTCAACCAAATCAAGATTACCTGGCACAGGGCTGGAGGGAGTGTGGGGCGTCTCCTGAGGGTCTCCTTCATGTTTTGTTTTTGGGGTCAGTTTGTCCCTGGACACTGAACAGAAAAAGAAAAGGAGTTAAAGATCCCCCAGCAAGCAGGAACCAGACTGAAGAGTAAAGAGAACATTATCTGTTTCAAGCAGTAAAAAACAATTGCCTGAGCAGTAAGGCAGGGGGAAGGGTTGGCTGGCATAGGGA